GATAAGGCAACACATCGCTGGCAGCTTTAAGTGTGCCAAGATAATGCTCTCTGCTTGTACTAGCAGCTTCTACGTTCCTGTCAGATGATAAAGGCAAATGAAGAAGACAATTGGAACAGATCCCTATTCAGGGGAAAAGAAGCTACATGGCTGTGTCATGTAAACTTCCAGCTCCCCACATGACCAAACTGGAATGGACCTCCAAAACCAAGTCCACTACCACACAGAATTTGAAACAGGTGACACAAGCATTATTCACTTATTATAAAGATAACCAGTTGTGAAAATAGTTTTTCTGCAGAAACTAAAAAAACCCCAATATACCAATGCACCTGGTTTCATGAAGCAATGGGTGAACTATGAAAAAAAAATACAAATGAAAGTCATGTAATCGTAAGTACAACTACTACTTAATCACTATTTCATTCTAAAAGAAAATAGCATTTTCACACTTCAGCACATACAAGGTTGCATGTCCCAGGGAGATTCTACAAACTGCTTTAGAATTCAACATTTTACCCAAGAATTGCATCCTTATTTGTTGAATTTTAGTAATACCAAACAGCAGATTTAATAACAGCTTTGTTAACAAAAGCTCTCGCATGGCCAGTGCTGCAGTTTTATAAGAGCAAAGCATCACCTGCCTCCTAGGTAAGTTTGAGAAAAAAAAAAACCAACCCCGTGTTAACTGACTGCTAAAAATTCCATTTCAAAATTGCAAAAAGACATTCTATTTTATTTGCCACCAGTGTGAATTAAAGCAGATACATTACCTATGCTTAGCCCTGCATTAATATTCCAAAGGTGCAATTAAAGTAAGAACACAAAACATTTATTTTCCTCTTCAAAGTATTTAGTCTGCTTTAAGGACTAATATGCTACTGATTTAGAATAACTACATATATTTATTACTATTACTGTATAATATATCTTCTTTTACTATTTACTTGTGTTATGGAAGAAAGTATTTGAAAGCAGTTAAACAAATTTAATTGTCTCCAGTTCATAACTTACACCAAAAGTTACACACGAAAAAGAAATCCCATTGTGAGAAAAGGCCAAAATAAAGAATGGAAATGTTTCCATCTCCCAACAACTACAAAACCTGACACTATCATGAGGTTGTCAAAAAGCAGATTGTAGAAGCACACTGAAATCTGCATATGGGCAGGTATTGTGTGCATCTGTAGAGAAACCTTCTGCACAACCAACACACCTACAGGGAAGTCTCTCCAGCACACAGGACCCATTCCCCCAGCGCTCTGCTGCCAGGCTGCTGGCTGCTTCAGTGGACCTGAAGGAATGAGGATTCAGAGCTCTACTTGCAGGACAAACCAAGGGCCACTGTAGAGTCTCATCACACTTTTTTTCATACTGATAATTAGTTTTCTTAAGTAGGTATTAGCCTACTTTTAAGAAAAATGGCTGAAAGACATGTATAGTTATCAATTGACAAGAGAATATTTTAATAACTTTATGTGCTCCTAACCTAGAAATGCAAACTACATATACATCTTATTCAGATCATTATCTGTGATAAAAGTAGCACAATTAATCCAGAATAATACAGTATACTTAAATCCATTTTATAGCAATGGTCAAGGTCTGAGCTGTCAAGTGGAATAGAAAATGTGCAGTGAAGCCCATTCTCTAGTTGTCAGACAAAAAGCATCAGAAAAAACTGAAAACAGGTGACTGATTACTCAAGAGCCTGGGTTTGTTTTGCACTTCAAAATTTTTTAACTTAAAGAAAATCACCAAAAGTGATTTTCTGTTATGGACTGGATAATTTTTAAACGCACCATCAGAAAACATTTCTAATCAAACAAAGAAACATTATAGACCATTCTTTTTTCCTGACAAAGCCTGGATACAAAATGCAATTCAAGCATCTGATTTCATTTGGATGTTCTAAATGTTTAGCAAATTATTCAATTACCTCTCTTTAGGACTTCTAAAAAACTGCTACTTTGATTTGTCAGGAATATAGACTAGAAATAAAATAATAAGGCTCAGGATGCCTTACTGTACATTTCTTTAGATGCCCAATAGCTGTGACCATAAAACGCTTCTACATTTTTCTCCTAAAGCCTCTAAGCAGCCATCATCCCATCATATCCCCCAGACACCAATGGATATTCCATTGCCTGCCAAAAGGTTTAACTTGTTCTTACCCTCATGCCTAATGTCTGTGTTGGTCACAACTGCACACGTACACTCTACTACAGGGACAACACCAGCCACAGGATTAGGGTCACTTGCATGAACACCAAGCCATACACAGCAGATGCAGAGTATTTTCCATTGTACTGGAGGACTAAGCAGTTCTGCCCCCAGAGCATGTGCTTATGGAGCATCTCTTTAAGGCATAACTGCAGGTGTAATTACCAGCACGTTCTGTACTGAACACTCAAATAGTGTGAAGACAAGAGCTTCCAGTAAATTGCAGGAACCACAAAACCTACCTAGATTAATCCAATTAGATTTATTATCTTACCTTGAGCTTAGCTCATTGGAGAACTCCCTGAATTACTTCTAGTTATTATTTCAAAATCATTTTTAAACACACCACAGCCCCTTTTCAAAAGCAGAAAAAGCAGCAATCTTTGAGGCCAGCCACATTAACAAAACCACACAAGTCCATTTTCAGCTACAGACTATACCGTTTCCTCCTTCTATTCTAAATGTTCTCTAAAGGTGAGCTTTTACAGTACTCCTGAGATGTTTACTGACTTGCTTTTAAAGATGACTTCATCAAGCCCCCAATTCTAGCATGCCAGTTGTCAGATGTGCTGCCTCCTCCACCTTTGTTCTACAGCTCCAGAACTGTTCTGTATTAACTACCTAGTGAGATGCACATACCAATAGTCCAAAATAATAATTTTGGGTACCAATTACAGCTGGCCATTATCTTTCAACTGCTGCACAATTCAAATTTTTCTAGAATTGCATCATCTCTACATCTGCTACAGATTGTTGCAAGCACTCAATTATCTTTTGCTCCACTATCACACTTGTTCCCTCCTCCACGCACTTCTGTTTCAGTCTAGAGAGCAGAAAAACTGTTGGGAAAAGCATTTGGTTTTATTTCATATGTCAGCATGGAAAAATAGAAAAATCCACAACTCAGCATTTATACCACACCTTAAGCAGAAGGCCAACCTGTCACCACCATGATGTGTAACTATTTAAAGTTACATAACATGATCAGATGTCTTTTAGAGAGAATAAGATGTGCACCATGTCAGAAAAATGACAAGCAAGTCTGAAAGTTTAAGAAAGTAACATTAATTCTTCAGACTGAGACTGAAAAGCACATTAACCTGCATCACTAATGACAGAAGTACAACCAACCTAAGAGTTTATTGGAAGTATTGTACCAACAGGGCAGGAAAATAAGCAATAGGTACAGCAGTCCAGAGTTGTTCCCAGGCAGCTGTACTGGTGACTAGATTCCACCTCCAGAAATGCTATCAGTTGATCTGTCTAGAACTATGGGAAGCCAAGTTTTTAACTTCAAGACAGTTGTCAAAAATAAGCAAAAATCATATGCTCTTTATGCTATTACTTGGCTACATGAAAAGATATCTAATATTGACATTTTGGACTCTAATTTCCCATGAACAATTATATGCTACTAATCTAGTCTACTTGGTCAAGCTCAAGCTACTTACTACATATACAGACATTTTTATCAACACATCAAAGCAATAGTAGAAAAAAAGAAGGTTTTTTGTTTTATATAAAGTTTGAGAGACACAGGAACATGGATTAGACTACAAAATTTTATTGAAACTTGTCCAAAAATCAAGCCAGGCACACAATTTATCCATTCTACTAAGGTCTCGTCGTTCTGTATGGCATAGAAAAAATGCATCTCAACAAGCAGAAACATCAAACAACTAAATTAGTGAAGTTAAGGCACTTGAGATGTGTGTTAATTTAGCAAAATTGTGTAAAAATATTCTACTTTGAATGATACACTCCTTTCCAAGCTTCAATCTAAAGCATCCAAATTCCATAACCCCTTGAGTCAGGGGAAAGGCAGAAGCAGGAGACAAAAGTCTCATTGTCTTTTCCTCCAACTAGTAACCTCCTAGGCCAGCACAGCCTACAGAAGGAAGCATTAGTGAATCAGACTGCAAAGGGTTCCTGTAGTTCAGGTGCTGAACTACACAACAGTTTGGGCTGAGGTGCAACGACTTCCACTTAAGAAGCCTTCAGGAAAAGCATCTTTGGGACATGAGAGGAAAAAAGGAGAGAGTAAAAAGCTCATGCATTCAATTGTAAGGCTAACAGATCTTCCCTGGGGTAATAATATTTATCCTGGGATTAATTAGATGTCTTTTCCTACTCCCATATTCCCCCCAAGAATAATAACTTGGGGAAAATAAATGGAGAATGGACATCTGATACCTGTTGGTTTGTCAGGGCTTTGAGCAGTAACTTGAAAGCCAGTTAGTAACTTTTGTTTAATTCATGCTACAATTGCAGTTTTGGTTTCTATTTCTGAGAGTATAAGCACTAGTCAGTATATTTTTTTCTGCTCTGAGCCAATGTTTACAACTTAAATGTTGCAGTTTCAGCATTTGGCAAATAAATGTTTTTATGTATAAATGAATTAATAACTCAGTTCTACCTGTTGGAAATTCTTCCTAAACCTGTGAAACAACCTCTTGCATCATACAGCAATTAAGTACCCTTTTCAAAAGCTCTACTACACGCACACTCCACACTAGAATTTGGAGTATGGTCCAACAGTCACATACAGAGTGAAGGAAAATATTTCCAGGTACATGAAGATGTTTTCTAAACCATGAAAAGGCATGATAGAGAAGCTATGGTCACCTGCTGGGCACAAACAGGAAACAACATGATAAATATTTGAGGGGAAAAAGAAACATACAGAAAACTGATTATCCAACTGAATTTCAAGTACTAGTTAGTCTACAGAAATGTAGTTCTAAGCATTAATTTCTGAATTTCAATAGTTGTTGTTTAAGATGTAAAGCTTATGAAAATGAGATTGCATCTTAATACTCTGTGTCCTTCAGAGCAAATTGTTACATTTAAGGCACTACACATCATCTTTGGTTCAGTCTTTAACTATCTCATTCAGCATAAAGAGGTAGCACGAACCATACATCTTTAGCTCTTCCATTCCATTACACACAATTTCAGAGTCACCGCCCTTCTGATGTTACAGAATCTGGAATCCTTTAACTCATTAGGAAACTGCAGGAACAAAACAACAAACATTCTGATTAGTTTTAAAAGAAACAAAGCTGTGTAACATTCCACTTAGCTTTCAAATACATCCAGAAAATCAGAATGAGAAACTGGGCCTGATGCAACTATGGGGTAAGTAGCTGTGGAGAAGTTTCCCAAGAGTGAGTCTTCTTGTGACTCAAAAGCTAAGACAGCCACAGCTTACCTACAAAGTTAGCAGAACTACATAAACCATTGCACAGACTAGAATAAAAGCTGATCAGGGAATTGAATACTGAACAGAGGGTAAGTTCAGCTCTCTTCTGGTCTTGAGAAAAGTCTTTATGAAAAAAGTTTTATTATTTAGACATCTTAAAGAAAGAAGTGAGTTCTCACAGGAAGGGGTAATATTTGCCTATGGGATTAGCCTTTCAGACAAAGTAAAACACTGAGATGACTAGAAACGAGGTGGTCCCTCAACATGAATTTATTCTTAAAAATGCATAAAACCTAGTAAAAACAGACAAGTATCTATATCAATCATATATATACAAAGTAGTCAATTAATAGTGCTAGACTCTTTACAGCAGCAACCCCAAAATGTAGGCAGCTTTGAAACATCAGCCATCCTCGTTAAATAAGGATTAATAATCAAGATGTACAAAACCAAAAAAGTAGAAAAAGAGACATCTGTTTTCAGCATATGTTGCCTGAGATATCACGATGAAAACAGAATTATTTTATACTATGTTATGGTAGGAAGGAGAGTACAACAATCTTTCCTTTGGCTAGACTGAAAAATTGTTATATCCACCAAATACCATTATTTCTGGCGATTGTATCGACCAATACTGCCACTCTTTGAGAAGCAAATGGAGCATTTTTTAAATAATATTCCCCAACAAATTATATTTTGGAAAATAGACCCTTTGCCCATTTCCCTGTTCTGGTTTATATTAGTATCACCAGACAAGAATATACCAGTCAGCAGGAAAAGACCCATTCGCAAGCAAACAGTCCAGACAAAACCCCCAGATTTCTACTACCACTCTCCATCTTTAAGTCCTCATTTGTGTTTAACCCACTTCCTTAAAAAAAACCCAAACTGTAATGTGTGTTGCAATGCACAGGAAAACACTGACTAAAGCAGCAGCAAGGACATACCTGTATGGGTAGCCATGATATTTAGATCTGAAGACAGACAGCAACCAGCTGAAGAACAACACCACCAAGCCAATGCCAGCAATACACATGACTACATACGGAAGAGATGCAGAGTAAGATTCTGATGAAGTGACAGCTGTCCCCAAACACACCAGTGACTGGGGTTTTCAAAAGCATTCTGTAACATTTACTGATTTGGTCAGATGAGATTCTGTTAGTTTCACTGAGAAGGACTAGGTTAACCAATTTTCTTCCAAATTCCTACTGTAAATCAAATTTATACCATTGCTTTAAAAGAAAGTAAGCTTCTTCTCTCCCTTACTAATAAAGAAGCTTTACAGCATTTTGCATCTGCAAAGTCTTCCAAAAAGACTTTGAGTTTACCTTGTAGTTTGCTAAGAAATTCCAAACCTTGCTTAAAAACCAAATTATTCACTTCTGCTTAGAGATGGGAAGAAAATCCACAGTGCAAAAGCATTTCCATTAAATACTCTATCAAAAAATCTTTATTGAATATAGGAATACTTTTCTCTCTAAAAGAATATACTTACTTTTTCTTTTCCCCACATCCATGTCAGAAGTAGCAGCTTCGTGGAGGAGTACCATTCCTAAAGTAACACCACCATCTACAAATGCTGTTTAAGGCTAAATCAACAAAATACAACAGACACAATATAATACACTCATTCCTAGTCTCATAAATTCAGCTCCCACACCATTCATAGAGCATTAAAAATCACTGGAAAAATCAGACTTCCCAGCCAAACCAGCAACTATGGGGGGGAAAGCAATCTAAAGGCATTCATAATGTCAGCTTTTAAAAGCATGTAAATACAAAGTTTATTGTTTTAAACTGGAAGGTTTAGTAGGTCTTGACACAAAATTAAAAACATGCATTTATTATCTTAGCTTGTAATGAAACAACATTCCTTCCCAGAGAGCTTGGTCCACACCTACTACTGTTCTACTCTACTGAAAATTCCCCAAAGGAATTCAGCTTCTGCATTTTACACAGCTAATAGAATAAAAGGCATACACTATTTTATGTAAAAAGGTATCTTTTAGGCAGCAGTATTTTAGTCTTTTCCAATCCTTCAGTTAAAAATCAATAAAGTTTGTAAAATGAAGGAAGCACAAACAACTTAAAGGCCTGGCATTTGCAAAGAATGAATCCTAGCAAGGCAAAACAGCAAATCCAATGGAACAAAAAATAGAATTCCCCAAGATTTCATTTCTTTTTACTATAGATGTTCAGTCCCAACCCTCCTCCTGAAGTAAGACATAATTAGCACTGACTGCAATAAGAACATTAAGAAGTCTCTCCATTTCAGATGCAGTTTACCTTCAGCACAACAGTGCCCAGGGAGATGGTGGAGTCACCATCCCTGGAAGTGTTTGAGAAGCATTTAAATGTGGTGCTTTAGGATATAGCTTAGTGGTTGTGGTAGTTGGACTATGGTTGGACTTGATCTGGAAGTTCTCTTCTAACCTTAATGATTCTAGATACTCTAATACTTTAATGTAAGAATCCTGAATCACTAGCATGAATGAGCGGTAAGATTAAAAGCAAAGAAAATAAATAAAGAAATAAAAGAAGATCAGTAATAGAGTGAGGAATTCAACATCAAAGCAAGAATAGCTGAGACTAAAAAGATGATGAGACATGCAGAGGAACAGAGGCTATCCTGAAGAATCCTGTGATTCTACAAAAATATCCATCTTTAACACTGTATTCAGTTCAGTCACCGAGCAAGGAAGAAGGTGGTGAGAAAGGAATAAACATTTTTCTATTAATAGGAAACACAGTTGTTGACACAGAAAGGTTCTAAAAGCTTCTGCAACAGCATCAGGTGAAAGTTAGGAGCCTTGACAAAGTATTCACATAGAAAAGGCAGCAGCATAAGCAAAAAATGATTCACCAACCACATGCTTCTCAGTAGAAAGGATACTGAACAGAAGAACAATGTGTGTTTCTGCCACAAATTGGGCTTGGCTGCTCCCATGGATATAGTTCTGTAAGAGAAAGAGTAATTGAATTTAGAAAAGACTGGAGTCAACTTTGACACAATTAACAATAGCTATACAGCTTGGAACTGGGTATTGCTCTGTCTCAGGAGACAAAAGTCAGAGCATGAACAATTTTCTCTGTTGATCACTGACTTTTGGGGTACACTGTGGCAGCCACAAACAACCTTCTTCTATTCTGTACAAACAGCTCCAAGTATCATTCAGATTATACTAAGTGCAAGTGCAGATCCCCTGTTTAGCAGGGGATTATGCCCTCCTGCACCCACCCTGATCCAAGTCCGATCCGTTTGCCAACTTAGATTCTCAGGTAATGTGCATTGCCCCTCAGCTGAGGGACAGTCTCTTCAATCTGCATGTGAGTCCTACTCACCTGATCCAAAACCAAGCACTGGAAAACTTTTTCATGGCATATCAGGAAAAGAAACATAGCTACCAATACCATCGAAGCTTTATTCTTCAGTCTCAAAAAGGGTTAGGAATGATGTAAACAAGAATCAAAAGAAAGCATTTAAAATATGAGAACTTCCACTTGGTTGGCTCAGTTTTGTTGACATTAATTACTTAATAATCAGCTGGGTTAATGTTGACATTAATCAATAATCAGCTGGGTTAAGAAAAAATATGAAATTTGTGAAATAATACAATTTTTTATCCCTTTTGGCCAGCGGTATTTCATTATGGTTGTGATGTTATATCTAAGTAGCAAACATTTGATATGTAGATCAATTTTTAATGGAATGCCTGGTGGACCTAAACCAGGCAAAAAAGAACACTTCTCCAAATTAATTCCCTTCCAAGTAAAACACAAGAAAAGCCACTATGTGATGTGTAAGCCCCTGAAAAGATGCAAACCTCTCAATACACTGTGACTACCTTTACAGTCTCTCATTCTCTGTTCTGTACAGAGAAATGTCCTTCAAGTGACATTAAAACTGCTTTTTCCCAAGAGTAACATTTTCTAAGTCTAGGGTCACTAGACCTTCATTTACCTGAAGAATCTCTAAGATAGATGTTTTTAAATGGAATTAATAGAAGGGGGCGTGAGCTAAAAAAAACACCAAAACAGGTTAAACAAGAAATAGCTGGGCTCAGCAACAGGACTGTTCAGCATGTAAGACTCAACATAAAGTTTTCTTTTGCTGGTGGCAATTTAGAACTATCATATCTCATCACCACTAGAGATACAATATACATATAAGACAGAGGAAAGCAAATGTCATAGGTAAATAAATGCTGAAAAGAAAACATTGAAAACAAACAGGAATGGTTAAAAGAGGCAAAGAAGGTAAGAGACCTGGAAGAGATCAGGTAATTTAAATTATCTGCTCTCGGTACCTAAGTTAATAAATTTGTCATTGTGCTTCCTCCAAAATGTATCACTTACTTCACTTTTACATTTTGGAGGGATGGGGAACAACAAGGAAGAAGAAATGCTCACTCTAGGTTCTGAAGCAAGTAGGAAACTCCCCTTCCAAATAACTTGTTAGCAAACAGTTCTGGTTACTCTGTACACCATTATCTTTACCTTGGAGCATTATTTTAGTACCTGCTTAGCTTTCTATGATTACTGAAATAATCAGTCTCTGCACACACAAAGACCTTGAACTTTCTAGGTATTAATGCAACAAAAATAAACTCCAGGGTAACACTTTGGAAACAGTATGTCCCACTTCCAGCTGAGTACCATCCATATGACTGCTGTCTAATGCTTTACTGCATGGAAAGCATTTGGAGCAGCTTCTAACAAGAAACTGAATGTGCTGCTAGAGACTAAATTAATTTTCATATTTCTGATCTGATTAAGTATTGCATTTTTATTCTCTTAAAGCTTATTGCTGAGCACAGAAAGCATTTTTTTTAAGCAACATTCATCCTTACTTAAAACAACACAGAACTAATGCCACCAGTCTGAAAGATTTAACAAATCATTGAACAAAAAACTGTAGGAATGACCTTTATATGAAAAGGGAATTTTAAGTAATGGCTGAAGTTATCAGACAACAGTTGCACAACAGAGCAATTCGTTTTGGATTAAGATCAGTATTTTGTGATTTTTTAGTAGTCAAGCAGAGTTTGCAGAGCTTCTTCTATTTGAGCCAAGAAAAGGATAAAGTTAATTGCAAGAAAAATCTAAATCTTGACTGGAGCTCTAACACTCCTGTTTCACACAGAACAAACCCCCTATTTTACAGGCATATTTGAAGAGAAGGCAGACCCTCTCTGAACTAATCAACAGCTCTCTAATTTGCCTTGCTTGCTGCAGGGGAGGTCAGCCTCACTGACTTACAAAGAAAGAAGCCAAGAACAGAATTCTGACTCTGACCTGCCTCTTCTACTATCAGCCTGATCCTTAAAAATACAACAGAAATGCAGAAAAGACTCACCACTTGTCCTGTGTGGGGATTCTTATGAGCATAGGGTGGACCCCTAATGTGGTTCCACATCTGGCCTGATGTCATTGCTAACACAAAACACTGAAAAGGAGATAAACACTATTTAATAAGATTTTTCTAATTTTTTACTCAATGGCTTTTTATTTCATACTAAAACACACTGATTTGGAATTTAATCTTAGGCTTATTATTTGTATAAAAGGCACCTAATGAAGCATTAACTGAGCTGAAGATATGTCCTAGTTTTAGCCAGGATGAAGCAAATTTCTCCTTTTACTGATCAAGATCAAATCACATTATCAGACTACCAACAAGTAAAACCGAATGCATTCATTTTTATCTACCAGATTTAATCACCTTTAGATACAAAAGCTCAAAAACTAACCTAGACAGCTTTTAAAAACCTGAATTGCTACAAAACTCACGGCAACAGGCACCCAGGCGTTATAATTACTCACCAAAGCAGCAAATGCCCAGCCAGTTTTGTTATACAGAAAATCCAGATTGCTTCCACGCAAATAGACGAGGCCTCCAATGACAGCCAGCAGCAATCCTAACATCAATGGTCCTGCATAGTTTGGTGGCCGTATCACACGAATCTAAACAGATGATATTTCAAGGATTTTCCCTCAGTGGGATTATACGTTATAGCCACACTGCTGGTAACAACACTCATGAGAGAGTGAAAAATACTAACATGAAAAATTTTCTATTTAATAAATCTGACTAGGAAAGTAAGCAACAGCTCTTCCCTTGTTACTGTAAAGTCAGTTTTATACAGTTTTACCCCACCTAATAACTTAAAGATTGCTTTTCTTCCATAGGAACAGAAGAAGGAAGGAGGCAAGATTTACCATCTTATCAAATACAGAATTACACAAAATATTAGAACACAGAACATAAGGAAACTTAAAGATGAAGTTGTGCCCCTAAACGAGATTGTGTAGGTAAGAACTACTTTAGAGTATCTGAGAGTTGATCTTTATCCACAGAACACAATTGACATATTTCATAGCTGGAATTACACAGCAAGGGAGCAGTGCAGGAGTGGTGGTGGGGAGAGTCTGTACCTACTTACATTGACATCTGTCCTGTCAGCCACCCAGCGAGCAAGCTGCTCGGCTGCAAAGCCGCGCACCTGGAGCTCATATGTGTCACCCCGCTTTGGCTTCCCCTTGGCAGGGAAATTAATGAAGGTTGGAGCAGAGTTCATGTTTAGCTGCATTTGGAAAATTCAGAGAAGATACAGCAGCATGAGAGGTCAATCTAGTAACACAGCTCTATTCCATTTGTATCTTGCAACATCACCACTGAATCAGTCAGAAAAAGTAACTATTAAAAAAACAGATTACGCTGACAATGAATTAAAAAAGTGAGGGCAGCACACAGTGACTTGCATCTCTGTATGTCATAAAAGTAACAAACATACTCCTGCAATTTCCCTTTTGTGTTCTTTGCTGTTTTCCCCTTTTCATAAGGAGGCAGAATTTTTTTCTTCCCAGTTCTGGATGCCTAAGAAAAAAAATCGTAACTTCTGAGTAGGCTTCTTTATTTTTTAACACAACTGGGCAAGTTTTTGGCATTTCTTTGTTAGTATTCAGACCAGTTAAGAAAAGATTATGACAGATAAAGCAGTTCACAAAATCTCATTCTATCTTTTCCTATAGTATTTCAGTTATCTTTGATCTGTTTCTTCTCTAAATACTATTTCTGGGAGAGAAATCGGAAAAATAGGAATATATACAATAATCTATAAAGACCATGAATTTTTGATGTAATACTACAGGAAAATTTAACAAGAATAAAAGACATCTCCTTCCACTTCTTCAGTCTGAAAGCTTCCATTTAGTAAACTATTATTGCCTAAATTATGTAGCTTTTAAATAGAAATGAGTATCTCTTAAAAAAAACACACCAAAAAAAAGAAAAAAGAGAGAGATAAGATTTGCAAAACAATAATGAACTATTCATGGGATCTACAATTGCAAGAGTACTTGGAATGTTCCATACATTCAAAATATCTGGTTACATGATGTTAATAGAAGAGCAAAATTACTAGGTACCTGATGAGAAACAACTTAACCCACACTGAAAGCTGAATCTACCATTCTCTAGCAATTAAAAAAATTCTAATAGCTGTTCCTAATGACATTGGTGCTTTCTACCTTGCTGTTTCATGTACCATGGAAGAATTCCATTAAGAATTACACTGTAAGTTATTACAGAAAACAAACTCAGAAAAAAACAGTCAGAGAAGCCAGTTCACTCCTTCGGTCTATTCCAGATTTGCCAGTTAATCTGTTAATCTTACTGTCAACAAGCTACTGCCTTTTGTTCATCTCATTTCTTCTGAGTGGCAATTTTTAACTTCTCAATGATTTCTTTAATTATTTTAACACTAAATTTTGCATATATCTTTAGGTTCTTGCCCTCAGTCTCTAAAAATCAAGTTATAAATAATGTTAGAAGAGAAAAAGAAAGACATTACCATCTGAAATACATCTGAACCTTCATCAAAATCAACCATAGCAAAAAAAATCTTGTTGGTAAATGCACTGGAATATCGCCAGGAGTTTGCCAGAATCTGGTATTCCTCATCAGCTTGCCTGTAAAAACACACAAAATGAGAGGCTGAACCATATGTTTGTCCAGCACACAAGGTAACATACAGCTGAGGAGCCATATGTCACCTGCCCCATTAATGGGTGCATCCCACAGACCACTACATTACTTTTCAAGAGTTAAAGACTCTCATCTAACAACCATAAAGCATTTGGCACCACTGGGTCGATGCTTTTTGTTTTTTTAAATACAAGGGTAAGTTTTTGTTGAGTCCATGAACCCAAGCAGCTGTAACTTCTGATGGGAATTTGAAAGAGGACCCAGCAGATCATGATTTACTAGTTCACAAAACACCAAACCGAGTACAGGTCTGGCTTCTTTTCCATGTCAGATGATGGGAAACCAATTAATTTCAACTAAGTATCAAAGTCATCTTTACAGACCTCTGCCACCTCTGGTTTAATACATGAGAGCCATAATTTGGTTAAGGAACCAGCAGATTATAATTACAAAGAAGTGACAATCAACATAGCAATTAACAGCAACATTTAGGCTGTGTGGCCAGCAGTAATTCTGCAAACCCTCCTTCAGCATCTCATGCCAGGAAAGTTGAGCTTTCACTGTGTTTTACAGAAGCCTACCAGCAATAGTATTGTTTCTTCAAAGCAGCAATTATGTTAGGAGAGAGATAAATAATTAAGGACTATGTTGCTTTCTCACATACCTATTACACATATATTCCCACATTTAGGTTCAAAGACAATGTGTCCTAGTATATCCCTCCCACGTTTATGAAAGTGTTATCCTATTCTTAATTTCCTACAAAGCATATGATGACTTTCAAGTTCTAATTTAGGACTAAATTAAGCCCATACTTGCACACAACACACTGTCTGTGAGGCTGAAGAGCAGTGAACATCACAATCACCGAGTAATTTCTGGGTGGTGCCTTCACAAGGCGTCGAAATTTGTCTCCATTCATTCGAATAACTGATCTTTTACTGGCCCACTCCATCAGCTGGTTCACTTTTTCTGATAAGACCATCTGAAAATAAAGTCAGAGAAACACTGATTTTGTTCTCTTAGTCTCACAGTACTTATTTCATGAGAATGTCAACCACATGATGAGATAGTTCATTAAGATTCTTGAAAGCAATCACAGACCTTTTTGATGGTCATGTTAATATTATTAACTCACTTTAATCACTTAGTAAATACTTAACCACACACTTTAAGCACTTAGTATCACACATGCTGGTGCAGACTATCAGCTCACTAGTACTTTCTCACGTTGCTAACTTTAAGATTTCAGATGTGCAACCTGCCCCAAATCACTCCACAGTATTTATTTTACACTAAGCATCACGCTTCAGACTTCAAAACTTATTGCAAGCAGGATCAAAACGGAAGCAAGTTCAACATCTAATTTTCAGCCTCACTGGAAAATAAACCCACACACTGAATCAGTGCCTATTTGGGGAGCACAGAAGTGCATAATATTGTACAGTAGAGCTCTCAATGCTAAGCTCTTCTTTAAAAGTGAGCCCACCGAGTCTGTAACACTATACAAAGAAGTGTTGGGTTAAGTGACCAAGTCCCACATGCTACGTTTGTCATAAATTACTTCTCTACTCCTTTTTAACACTCTTCTTCAGATAAATGCTTTAGAACAAGTCATGAACTACTCTCTGACGGGCACGAGCACTTGGAGGCGGAACTTCCCAAACCCCAGGAGTCAAACGTGTGGAAATACGTGACACGGCCGCGATCACAGCCAAGACAAGTCACCCCGCCCGCCCCGGACGCCACACAGCAGGAAGACAACTCTGCTGTGCATTTTCACAAGAACAGAAGAACCTGGAATGAAAAACCCTCGACAAGGCAAATGACACCCGTGTGATGCTGAAGAGACAGCTGCTCCGCTCCGCCCCGGGCAGGCCCCGGGCTGCCCCTCAGGGCCCGGCCGAGCCCCGGGCTGGGGAGGCCCGCGGGGACCCGGGGTGCGCGGTC